CACTATGAAATGAAAGAGGAAGAGCCAGCTGAGGGCAAGAAATCTGAAGATGATGGCATTGGAAAAGAAAACTTGGCCATCCTAGAGAAAATTAAAAAGAACCAGAGGCAAGATTACTTAAATGTACGTGACTTCTAGAGAGAGGCTGGTGAAGGGGTTGGTGGGAAATGGCTGGGAAGTAGTAGGCCATCGTATCTCAGTATGGAGAGCAGACTCCTTTTTTGGGGTGTACCTAATCCTTCCTTAAATCCTGGGCAAGCTGCCAGACTGCCCCTAAGGTCTAACGTGTGTTTACAAACCACACGACCAAGGAATGTTCGTGTCATCCGTCCCTCACAGGGTGCAGTGTCTGGCTCGGTGCAGGCCACTGACCGGCTGATGAAGGAGCTCAGGGATATATACCGATCACAGAGTTTCAAAGGCGGTGAGTTTGCCCCAGAGAGGGGTCTGCACAGGAGTCACCCATAAAGAAGGGTATGGTGGCAAGGGGCCCAAGAGGTTCTGGGGTCCAGGACTGCTTATGAACTTTTCAGGCCAAGAATGGAGCTCCTCAAGCCAGTGGCTTGGTTGCATGTCCATCTGTGGTGAACCTACAGCTGTTGATCTTTTTCTCTCAGTCTGGGAAAGGGGTCTGCATTAGAATCCACTCTCACCACCTGGACCATCCTAGTAACACCTATCTTTTCCCTCCTTCCAGGAAACTATGCAGTCGAACTCGTGAATGACAGTCTGTATGATTGGAATGTCAAACTCCTCAAGTGAGTGGGGACTCTGGAATTGGAGAGGAAGTTGAGGGGGAGTATGAGTGGGGCTACTGTGGTGGGATCTCCAGGGCAGCCCCATCCAGCATTTTCGTTCAGGGTCCCGAAGTGGGTGTGGGCAGTGGTTTGGTGGTCTGCTGACAGCCAGGGCAGGGGAGCCCTTATGAAGCTCCTGAGCTGGAACCAGGCATCTGAGCCTAGGGTTGTTGCTTCTTAGAGTTGACCAGGACAGCGCTTTGCACAACGATCTCCAGATCCTCAAAGAGAAAGAAGGAGCCGACTTCATCCTACTTAACTTTTCCTTTAAAGTAAGGCTTTTCCTTTCCAGTGTCTCCCTCTGGCCTAGGCTGCCCTGCCTGCCTGACAGTCCTGTGGAGGATGTTGGCCTCCCTCCCCTGATTGTCATCTCTCTGTCTCTCTCAGGATAACTTTCCCTTTGACCCACCATTTGTCAGGGTTGTGTCTCCAGTCCTCTCTGGAGGGTGAGTGGCTGGCATGCGGAAGAGGGCATCTCCTCTGGCAGAGGGCGGGGAAGAGACTTGGAGCTTTTGTCAGGCACAGCTGACTAACCTTTCTCATGCAGGTATGTTCTGGGCGGAGGGGCCATCTGCATGGAACTTCTCACCAAACAGGTGAGCCTGCCTCTCCTTGGCCAGGCCAGCCTGGCTGGGGATTGGCTGAGCTTTACAGCATAAACCCCTGCAGGCTGGGTGATAGGCATGATGTGGCCCTTTCATTCTGCTGGGCTAGGTCTGCACCCACTGACCCAGAAAGACAGGTGGTGGCAATGCTGGGGGCAAAGGGCAAGGGCCCTCCTATAGACACAGCTGATTGCCCAGAGGACAAGCATGAGGCTTCTCTGGAAGCTCCATCCAGACCTGCTTGCCTTGTCCCTCCCTTCACCCAGGGCTGGAGCAGTGCCTACTCCATAGAGTCAGTGATCATGCAGATCAGTGCCACACTGGTGAAGGGGAAAGCACGAGTGCAGTTTGGAGCCAACAAAGTAAGGATCTTGGCCCTGGGGCCGGTGGGGCTGGGTGGAACCAAGTATACTTGGGGCCACTAGCAGGCCAAGGCTGCCTTCTTTAGAGGAATGAGCATAAGGCCTCTGGACTGGTGGCATTGGATGAGAGGGCCTAGGGTCCCCACATTGGAACAACTGTGCCTTGGCCCCTAGGGGCACCCCTAGGACTTTTGGGAGGGTGCCGGTCTGGAAAAGGAAGACTATGGGATTATGCCCCCAACGGACCTCCCAGGTGGAGGGTACTTAGTGTTTTACTAGACCACAGTGCTGGGAGCTGGGACTCCGGGGTCTCTGGGTGACAGCCTGCAGAAGGTGAGGGGCAGTAAGGCCACAGCTGGCCATGGCCTGATGTGGTGGCTTCCTCCTCCCAGTCTCAATACAGTCTGACAAGAGCACAGCAGTCCTACAAGTCCTTGGTGCAGATCCACGAAAAAAACGGTGAGGCTGGAGCCAGGACTCAGGAGATTCGGACACTTGCCACGCCCAGGTTTTCACTTCCAGCCACAGAGCAAGAACCCCTTCTGGGTTTCTGATATTCAACCACCGATTAGCACAGCACCTGCCCCAGTTCTCCCAGGAGGGACTGGCGGTGGCTAACGTTCACAACCTCTTCCAGAAACACACCAAAATGATCATATCACCGATAAACTTGGTGCTACCCACTTCTTAACCACCTTTTGAAACAGCTCATCTAACTCCCCCATCATCTCAGGTTGGGCACATCATTCCCCTTTCTTTCTCATCTCCAGGTATGCAGGCTCTCAGCTTCCCATACACCTCTCCCCACACAGCATAGCCCTCCCCAACATCCTCTTACCTCTGACACTGGAGACATCGTCAGGAATTGGGGCAGGACAGGGAGGGTGGGCCTGAACCTCCACCTCACTGACCGTTCCATTTCTTTGCAGGCTGGTACACACCCCCAAAGGAAGACGGCTAACCCTGGAGTATCACCCTTCCTCCCTCCCCAGGCACCACTGGACCAATTACCTTTGAATGCTGTATTTGGATCTCACGCTGCCTCTGTGGTTCCCTCCCTCATTTTTCCTGGACGTGATAGCTCTGCCTATTGCAGGACAATGATGGCTATTCTAAACGCTAAGGAAAAAAAAAACAAACACAGAACTGTTTCAAGTACTCGAGACTGACTTACAGACCAACCAACCACCTTGCTGGAACCCTTGCTAGCAGGCATTCTTATAAAAGAAACTTTCAAGCCTCCTTATATTGCTGGAAACTCAGCTGTGCTCCAGACTAGAGCCTCCTTACCTATGCTATGGATTTTTAATTTATTTTCTCTTATTTCATGTACACTGCTTTTTTTGGTTACAGTGTATGATGGATGTGTATGAAAAAAATGTATCTTTGGGAAAACAATTACAGTTTGTTAATTTGAAGATGCTGGTCTTGACTCATCTTTATTTTTATTCGCACATCCCACCCCATCCCCTGAACTACTTGGGAGGTGGGGTGGGGTACGAGTCCACTGTTGCTTTGGTAGAGATGAGAGGCTGCGTTTTGCTGCTAAAGCAAGAGAAACATGGAGCTGAAGCACGCACTTGGTCTGCCCCTAGATTTCTCCTCAAGGCCTCTGGAGCAACCAGCACTTGCCCCCTTGGAATGCAGAACCTGGCCTGCCAAACTACAATGTGGTAGGCTGAAACGATGGTGTTAATTCTTAGGACTACTTTTCTAGTCACAGATGTTTTCAAATTTCTAGGAAAAAGAAAATGAGGCTCGAGAGGCTGCTTCGTAGAATTCCTTTTGAATGAATTGAGTGGGGATGGGGACACAGTCTCCAAGTGTGTATGTGGTCTTTTCTGATCTCAGCTGTGTGGCTGCAACTCTTCGCTGTTCACTGGTTCCTCTCCTGGAAAGTGGCCTCTAACCAGCACCGGATGGTGATCATTGGTAAGCTCTGCTCACCTTCCTCTCTTGCTTCATTTGGCTTTATCAAAAAGAACAGGTGTAGCTCTGAAGTTGTTTGGCTTGGGAAATTATGGATTCTTTCAAGCCACTCCCCCTAGGTGGGTCCTACTAGAAAGGGTTAGCATTTTAAGGGGGTTGTTGTATACACCTGTGTCCTTATCCCAGGCTCAGGAACATCCAGGAAGGGAAGGTGAGGTGGGGAGTTTGTACTGAGATGGAACTGTCAGTGCTGTGTTGTATGTACTTGCTGTTGTAAAAGTTTGGGCATGACTTTGCATCTAGCGGGTGCTGCCTGTATCACTTTGTCTATAAGCTTGCTCTGGGACTGAGACAGCCTCTTAGGACCTACGATGCCAGCAGCTCTCATAAAGATTGAAATTACAGAGGCCAAGGATGGCCAAGTGAAGACCCAAGTCTCAGAAAACCCAGACTTGGGACAGCTGCCTGGGAACTGTAGGATGCTAGAGCAGTTCTGTAATGCTTTGAGACACGGCAATTTTCACATTGGCCATTCTTTCCCCCTCCCCCACCCCTTTTCTTTTGAGGGACTTTTAATGTTTGCTGCTTTAGGTGGATGGAGAGTCCACCAGTCCCACTCAATGCTGCTCTAACCCTACCCACACCCACATAATTAGGGGTGCTAATAAAACATGCTGAGGTTGAGATAAAGATGGGACATAAGGGGAAAATTCATTCCATAGAGCTGAAATCTGGTTTTCAAGGCCTCTGTGGCTTTCTTCTGAACTTACCACCAGCCCTGGCTGGAATGTAGATTGTGTTTTTAGTAACGTGTACTGTGAGCTGTCTTCTGTATAATGTATTTTGTAATGTATTTTTCTCATCTACCAAAGGATGAAACAAATAAAATTATTTAAATAGTTTGGCTCTAATAAAATTATTTGAAGAAACAGTGGGGTTCATGTTCACTTGACATAGAGGGAAATGCCTGCTCCTGTGAGTTGCATAACACCAACTCTAAGAGAATCCTCCATTTTTCTTGCCAAACCCAGCACTCCCTTTTATGACCTTAAGTTTAGGGTTCTAATAAAGTACAAAGTATAAAAAAGAATCAAGGCCATATCATCATGAAACAATTTTCTTCTCTCCACTTAGAAGGCAAGAAGAAATGAAACTAACTCTTACCCTATACCTCAAGCATGTATCTATATCCCAGGCAGGGTTTGCATGGCCCAGAGCCCACACTGGCAGGCTCTAATCTCACTGCAGCAGTTTTAGAGGGCAGGGCAGTGGAAGGGTGGCTGGAAAGAAGTATCAATCACTCCAAACTCATGAAACATGCCAACATTTATTTGCTCATTGGTTAAATATTCTCTACCTATTCTACATTGAATGCCAGGAAAACTAGCAGAGGGCTTCTCTATTATCCAGAATCTGTTAGGACCACTTATATCATGCTCTGGGGTACAAAGAAGAGACACAAGAAAGACCATCCCAGCTGCCTCAGGCTTTCAACCTAATGGTAGTTTCCTATGTTTGGTTCAAATGTTCATGCCAAGTCGAGGAACTGAAGACACATGACAAATGAGACTTCACTCTCTTTTGGGAGGGAAGTTGAGAGTAAAAGCAAAATGAAAATCAATCCTGGGCACAGTCTGGCTTTTTTCACCTCCCAGGCCTCAAGGGTGAAAGAGGTACGAGAAGGCAGGGCAGGTGGCCTCTGGATCCGTGGCAAACAGGAGAGGGAACATGCTGAGGGGAGCCCCATTATTTAGACTCTTCAAACTTTAGGATGTGCGACTGGAAGAGAAAGACAAAGCCTTGGTGGGAAGGAAGGCCCACCCCAGCCAGTTCACCCAACCCCTCAGACAAGCAATTCATTTGATCTAAGAATGCCAGGTAAATACTGTATCCAGGCCTAGGCTGCAGCCTGCTGCAGAGACCCCAAGGGCAGGAGCAGAGGGAGAATGGCCAAGTTAGAAGCAGGGGCAGTTACCTCCGAGTTCAAAGCACCAGTGATTTTCCCTTTGAGGATTCGATGAACAACCTCATATGAACTCAAAATGTCTGCAAAACAAGACACAACAACAAAACCTCAGTGGCACGGGGTTGGGCAGGAGAAGGAAAGGAGGGAAGCAAAAGGCGGGGGCTGCAGGGAAAGTGCTCTGGCCGCCAACCAGCTCCAACCAGCAAGTCTCTGCTAGTTCCTGCTAAATCCCTGCTGCCAGGATCAAATGAGATGATAAATGCTGAAAAGGTAGCATAGGGGGAGGGCAAAATAACAGCAGATAAAGGGAGGAGGCACTTGTTAAAATAATTACAGGGATCTGGGATTTTTAATGAGAAATTCTACTGGGGACAGAAAATCATGTTCACTGAACTCTGTTCTGAGTGTTTCGGCTGGATAGAGGAAGGTTAAAAGTGGAGAGGTTTTCACCATGAGAAGCAGGCACTCTTACATGCTGGAACCACGCAGGGAGCTCATCAAAAACCCACCTTTCCCAAGGATATTGTCCCTCATGCAACTCCCACCATCCCACCACAGCCCCCAAACTCTGGGACTCTCTGTATGCATGAAACTGAATCACTAAGAGTCAGACCTAGGTTTCATCCCCAGCTATGCCATTTTCTTGCTATTAAGTACAAGTTCATTTCACTTTTCTGAGCCATATTTTCCTCATCCATAAAGGGAAGAAAACTGACACTTGTCTGACTTATCTCTGGGTCGGGGATTCTGGCCCTTCTGACAGGCTGGGATCTGCACTTTGAGACAGGAAGCTCCTCTTCCCTGGGTCACCTGAAGAAGCTCCTGATGCCTGACTGTTCCCAGGCTGGGCAGCAGGGACCCTCTTCATGCAATGACCCAAGACAACCTCTGGGTGGTGCTCCCTGCCCACTGGGCAGAAGCCCCACCAGCCTCCTAGGAAGCCTTGGCCCTGCACAATTGGGAGATGCCTTTCCATCTTTAAATATATATATATATTTTGGCCGGGAGTGGTGGCTCGCACCTCTAATCCCAGGACTTTGGGAGGCCGAGGCAGACAGATCACGAGGTCAGGAGTTCGAGACCACCCTGACCAACATCGTGAAACCCCATCATTATTAAAAACAGAAAAATTGGCCAGGCGTGGTGGTGCATGCCTGTAATCCCAGCTATTCAGGAGGCCAAGGCAGGAGGATCATTTGATCCTGGGAGGCGAAGATTGCAGTGAGCCGAGATCGCGCCACTGCACTCCAGCCTGGGTGACAGAGCCAGCCTCCATCTCAAGACTTAGTTTGTCTGAGGGCCGGGTGGCTCACACCTGTAATCCCAGAACTTTGGGAGGCCAAGGCAGACACATCATGAGGTCACGAGTTCGAGACCAGTCTGGCCAACATAGTGAAACCCCATCTCTACTAAAAATTTTTTAAAAAAATAGCTGGGTGTGGTGGCGGGCACCTGTAATCCCAGCTACTCAGGAGGCTGAGGCAGGAGAATTGTGTGAACCTGGGAGACGGAGTTTGCAGTGAGCCAAGATCACGCCACTGCACTCCAGCCTGGGCGACAGAATGAGACTCCATCTCAAAAAAAAAAAAAAAAAAAAAAAAAAAAAAAAAAAAAAAAAAAAAAAAACTTAGTTTGTCTGTAAAATGTTTCCATCTCAGCTAAGCACAGCAGCCCATGCCTATAATCTCAGCACTTTGAGAGGCCAAGGTGGGAGGATCGCTTGAGCCCAGGAGTTTGAGGCTGCAATGAGTTATGATTATGCCACTGCACTCCAGCATGGGCAACAGAGTGAGACCCTGCCTCTGGAAAAAAAAAATTTTTTTAGATAAAACTTTTCCATCTTACTTCCTGTGTATGTATATGTATGCTTCTTCATCTCCACTTCTCCTGACTGCCCCCTAAAGCATTCTTTCATCCTTTTACATTTCACCTAACTTCGATCTTGAGAAGGGGCCTCTTCATTTTCACCTATGGAGAAACCCGCAGGTGTCTGAGGCTAAATGAACCACATTAGGAGAGTGCGGTGCTAAGTGGTGTGCTCTGGCCTCTAGCACTGGTATTCGAGTGCTAATTTTCTTCTATGGCAGAATCCTTTTCCAGTGAAATCTGAAGCAACATGCAAAGTATGTAAAACAGATGAAAGCTGAACAGCTCTGGTAGAAGCAGGGGTGGGAAATCTGCCCTCTTCTCTTCCCTTCCAGAGAACTCAGCCTTTGGGCAGCATCTGAGGTCCCTCTTGGGATCTTGGGCTCCAGACCCCAGGCATGAAAACCAACACTTGAGAGGCAGCTTTGCTGGGGTCAGATGCTGAAAACGGGGGTTGGGTTTTCAGAAAGAGAAACTGAAGCACCTTGGCCGCCCACTATGCTGTTTCCTGCTCAGGTCCCAGAAGCAACCATGGCTTCTCCTATCCCTGAAACCCTCAGTAGGAAGGTAGAAGATGTCTCACCTTTCTCCAGCATGAATGGCTGAGTCAGGGGTGGGATGGTCCAGAAGTCGTCACTGTCCAGGCTGCGCAGAGACCGCACAGGGATGGTGGCCAACTGTCCAAAATCAATGAACATGACCACAGCCCAGGTGTCCACCCTGTCCAGCACCCAACACCTGGCAGAGGAAAGGAGAAAGACAGAGGAAAGTCATTCCGCCTAGTGCCATGCATAGCAGTCTTCGACAAAGCGGATGTGAAAGTGGAGGTGGGAGGGGGGAAAAGAAAGTTTGCCGTTTCCCCCCAAAAAAAAAAAAAAAAAAAAAAAAAAAAGATGATTTTGAGAGAAGAAGCCACAGGAAAAAAAACCAGAGCCCAAAGGAAGAGAATGCAAGAAGGGAGCATTTTCCCTGCACACCTCTCCCATAGGTTCTACCCCTGCCCAGGCACACACCTGTTCCAGGCGTGTCCATAATCCCCCAGGTGGTACTCTGCCAGACAGCGAGTCCCACGCTTAACAGCGGAGTCCTCCAGGTAGGGCTGCTGCTCCTCCGCCTGAGCCAGGGTGTTAAACAGCGCCTGCATGTTCTGGTGCAGAGCCTGTGGGATGCAAAATGCAATGGCCCCATTGCCTGCACTGCATTACAAATCTGCCTCTGTAGATGTCACCTGTTACATTAGCACTGCTAATCTTTCCCAAAGGAAACAGGTACGAGGTGGGAGAGAACGAAACTGAACCTGGGGATCAGACTGTAGTTACCCTGCATCTCCACCACTGACCGGCCCTGTCACCGTGCCCACCCTAGGGAGGCCACGCAGGAAGGCACAGGAGCCTGAGGGGGCCAACAACCAGTCCATACCTCAGTGATGTGCATGGCCCAGAAAAACGGGGTCTTCGGGACGATACTGGTCACCAGCAGCCCTGCCTCCCCACGGACACTGTGGATGAGCGCCAGCCAGCTCAGGTCTCGGAAGCATTCCCTCAGGAGCAGCACCAGGAAGGACCCTCTGCGGGAAGAGCAAGGAGAGCAAGGAAAGGAATGACTGGACCAACGCCTGTCCTGCAGGAGGCTGAACTGCCTGGGGGATGAGACCCCTAAGCAGGACGGCTGTGCCCACCCTCTCCAGGGTGGGAGCCAAAGCCAGTTCCCAAGTAATCCCAGTCCACGGCAGAGGAAAGGAAGGGTCAGTCTGGGGGCGCACGGGTTGAAGAGTGCAGGAAAAGGATGCAGCAGAGGGAAACAAAAACACATTGAGAAACTCCGAGATAGAGAGGTGGACAAAAGTCCTCAATGGGTAGATTTTGGGTCTCCTAAGTGATTTATGAGTCTCTAAATGATGCAGGTGTGGACTGTCCACCATGCAGGATGTGCCTTCCATCCCAAAGCTGCTCCTCCCCTGCATTTACGCACATTCCAAATGTCACCTTGCTGCTCCACTCACTCAACCACCTGCCTAAACCACGTGACAAGTGACAAAAAGCCACAGGCCCTACAGCATTTCAAGTCAAACTGATAATTCTGGCACTCCTGACATTAAAAACAGTATCCACTGTTAAAGCAAAGCAGGGAACATGGTTGGCATGATGATCTCCTGGCATCCAGGGCAGGGGACAGTCACAGGCCTTTGCTATACGTAAATTTATTTATTTATTTATTTTGAGATAGAGTCTTACTCTGTTGCTCAGGCTGAACTACAGTGGCACAATCTCAGCTCACTGCAACCTTTGCCTCCTGGGTTCAAGCAATTCTCCTGCCTCAGCCTCCCGAGCAGCTGGGACTATAGATGCCCACCACCACGCCCGGCTAATTTTTGTATTTTTAGTAGAGACGGGGTTTTGCCATGTTGGCCAGGCTGGTCTTGAACTCCTGACCTCAAGTGATCCACCCACTTTGGCCTCCCAAAGTGCTGGGATTACAGGCATGAGCCACCGGGCCCAGCTGGGAAGCTGATTTTATAAGTCAGTGTGGGTCACAGCCTTACAGCTTGGATCTGACACACGAGTTCCTGAAAACTATCCCCCACCCCAGTACTATCCCTGTCCCCACTCTCTGTGGGACAGAGATGTCTGTAATCGCCATTTGCCCTGGTGGTCTTTCTATACCTTGCTCACCTCATTTCCAAGGGGACTGCAAAGAAGGCTGCCCTCAGTTTCTCTGTCTCACACAGGTCAACAGGAGCTTTAGGAGCGAGCTGTATAATAGCTAGAAAGCAGAAGACTAAGTCCCGGAGGCACCAGAGCTACCCAGAGAGGAATGTGCTCCCCTAACCCATAAGAGGCCTTCGCCCTGCCCTCAAAGGAAGCATAAAATGGGCCAAGAAGCTGCACCCTCCCAATTCTCAGTCTCTAGATTCTCATCTGGGTGGGAAGGGTCGGTCGGATGATATTCTTTAATTAAGAAAGCATCCTAGGGCTCGGTATGGTGGCTCACACCTGTAATCCCAGCACTTTGGGAGGCTGAGGTGGAAGGATCACTTAAGGCAAGGAGTTTAAGACCAGCCTAGGCAACATAGCAAGACTCCATCTCACAAAAAATTTTAACAATTAGCCAGGCATGGTGATGCACACCTGTAGTCCTAGCTACTGTGGAGGCTGAGAAGGAAGGATGGCTTGAGCCCAGGAGATCGAGGCTGCAGTGAGCTATGACCACGCCACTGCACTATAACCTGGGTGACAGAGCGAGACCTTGTCTCAAAGAAAAAATACAAGCAAGCAAGCATCCTAGAGGAACAAAGGGAAAAGGGATATTTCTACACTAAGGGTCACCAGGGGATGGAGCTGGAAGGGAGGCTGCAGAAGGGGGAGCCACCCCAAGTGGGGCTGGAAGAGGTCCATTAGGAGCTGCAAAGCCACATCCTGTGAACAGATGGCAGCACAGAATCTCACCAGCGGTTTTGCCAAATCCTTCACCAGAAGCCTTCTCCAACACCTGGGGAGAAAAATGAAAGGTCTCACTCAGCCACAGTGGCATTTGTTTTATTGATTTCTATGCTGAATCACTCCAGGTAGACTGAGAGACAGAGCATCAGCAGCCCCTGTTTTGACTCCGACTTTAGAGCTGACTTTTGAGACATCCACCCACTTTCTCCATCCTCATGGCATCCTGAGCCAACCCGAAAAAAAGATGATCAGGAGCAGGGAAGGCAGGGAGCAGGGCTGCTGCCAGGGAGCCCTCATCCGGAGGTAGAGTCACAGAATGAGCTGCCCAGCAGCCTTCCCTAGACAGGGGCAGAAGGCACCACCGGGACACTTAGCCTGGTGCCCTGCTGGCACTACCTGCAGGGAGGAAGACAAGAGGTAGCAGTCACACTGATGCAGGGCTGGGTGGGGACAGAAAGGCCTAGATGCCCTGCCACTCTCCACAGCCCTGCAGCCCCCAACCCACGCTGGTCTCCCTCTCACCACTGTTCTCATCTGAAAAACCCCCAACCCTGGGGACACCCAAGTATCCGTCCCCCTTCCCACTGCCCTGCATCCAGGTGCTTCCATCCCACTACCACCACCCACCACACGCCTCGACTTTCCTTCTCTCCAAAGGACCTCATATCCTCTCCTTTCTTCAAAATGCCCACAACCCCTGCCCATTAACTTGCCTCTTCATCAGAGAGCAAACGGGAAGCAATGAGATAGGATGTCCTCTTCTCCCCACCCCGACCACCAGCCCCTCTCCCACTCCTGCCCTCCCTGCCATCCCTCCCCTGCACACTTGGCTGCATGGACCTGCTCCCTCCCGCTCTGGCTCAAGCCCTTACTCTGCAGACCCACCCTGCTGCTCCTCCAGCACTGTCTCCCTCCCGTGTGGGCCTTCTCCACGGCAAAACAAGCAGGATCTAACACCCATTTGGAAAGACCCTGACTGACCTCACAGCTCCCCCAATTCCTGCTTCTGTGTTCCTCTCACTGCAACTCCACAGTTTTACGGTCTCTGTGCTGTTTACATCCACACTCGCAAGTCTCCTCTCAGGCTTCCCCAAAATGGCCCTGCACAGGGTCAGCATGAACTGTCACGCTGCCAAATCCAACAGTCACTTCCCTGTTCTGAAGCCACCTGCAGTATTCTCTCTGCTCCCTCTTTCCAGAAACGCATCTCTTGGCATCACATGTATCTGGTTCTCCTTCTCTTTTCCTGGCTGGCCTTCCCAGTTCAACTGCTCAACACTGGCACATCTCAGGACTTGTCCTCTCCCCATCCACCTTCTCTCCAAGGCCATCTCCAGTGCAACGGTTTTAGGTATCAAGAATGTACCGTGCACTCTCAAAGCTGCAGCCCCAGCACTCATCATTCTCTGGAATTCCACTCACATGTGATGTCCACTTGACAGGAGAGTAAAGAGGTACACAAACTTAGCATGTCTGCATCAGACTCACCCAAGGAGTTGCAATCACAAACAAATAAAGCAGACCCTCCCCAGGCTAGCTTTCTCCATTTGAGTGAACTGCATCTTTTGTTGTTGTTGTTGTTGTTGTTGTTGTTGTTGCAGCAGAGATGGGGTTTCACCATGTTGCCCAAACTGGTCTTAAACTCCTGGGCTCAAGCAATCCGCCTGCCTCAGCCTTCCAGAGTGCTGGGATTCCAGGCATGAGCCACTGTGCTCAGCCTACCACATCACTAACTACAAAGCAGTTCACCCAAGTTCTCTCTCCCAAGCTCCCTACAACAAATTCATCAGCAAGCCAAGCTACCTCCTCCTCCAAAACACACCTGAGCCCATGAACATTTTTCTCCGTGTCCATATCCACCACCCCAGTACTCGCCATCTCTTACCAGAATGACAAGGACAGCAAACAGGGAGCTCTGCTGCGGCACCTGCCCCACAATCCAATCACCTGAGGACAGTGATCTTTTCCAAACAAAAAGCAGATCACATGACATCACTGGTTAAAATCTTCCAACATCTCTCCATCATGCTTACAAATAAAACCCAGTCTTGACCTTGGCTCTCAAGGCTTACCAACGGACGCCCCTTCCCAGTGACCTCTCTGCCTACTCCACTCCCCTTCACCTACCAGGCTCATACCTTGGGCCACTTGCAGGCCTCCCTCTGCCTGGAATGTTCTTAGTCTGGTCTTCCAAGTGGCTGGCTCTGAGCTGGCATTCAGATCGCAGTAGAGATGTCACTACCTCACAAAAGGGGGCTCCCTAAGAACCATCTAAAGAAGTGACATCTCACTCTTCATCACATCATCATATTTTAGTTCTCCAGCTGCTACTCATTATCTGGTATTTTCTTTTTTATTGTCTCTTTTACCACTGGAATGTAAGCATCGCAAGAAGAATGACAAGTGTCTTCCAACAATTACCTTGATCATGGAGGTAACACCAGGCCCTAGGAAATGCCTGGTGCATATTAAGCTCTCAGTAAATATGTGCTGAATGAAAGAATCAAATAAGAAATGACCTGGCGGCTGGGTGCTGTGGCTCACACCTCTAATCCCAGCACTTTGGGAGGCCTAGGTGGGCAGATCACATGAGGCCAGGAGTTCGAGACCAGCCTGGCTAACATGGCAAAACCCAATCTCTACTAAAAATACAAACAATTAGCCGGCCATGGTGGCAGGTGCCTGTAATCCCAGCTACTCAGGAGGCTGAGGCAGGAGAATCGCTTGAACCTGGGAGGCGGAGATTGCAGTGAGCCAAGATTGTGCCATTGCACTCCAGCCTGGGTGACAAAGTGAGACTCTGTCCAAAAAAAAGAAAAAAGAAAAGAGAGACAAGAAAGAAAGAAATGACCTAGGGCAAATTATTCACTCTCTAAATCTTGGTTTCCTTTTCCACACCAGGAATCCCACCTGCCTTGATATGAGGATTTAGTTGGGCTCAGGACAATGACACGCAGTAGGTACTAAGAAACAGAAGCAGCACAACACAGCAGTTACAAGTGCGGATTCAGGAGTTAGCTGTCTGGACCCCAATCCTGGTTGGGAGATTGGCTGCTTAACTCTGGGTGAGTTACTTGGTGTTCACATCTGCAGAACGGGATAGTTAACAGCACCTACTGCTGTAATTAAATGAGTTCATACAGTAAAACAATTAGACAGTGAGTCCTCAGTGAAAGTTAACTACTGCTATCAATCAACGAGACCCAAATTGAACCTTTCCTCGCTAAACCAACCACATTCTGCCTCTCTTCTTTATCCATAGCAAAGCCAAGCCACGGTGCTAAAAATTGGCCCCCTCTAGGCAAGCACATAAGGTGCCTTTTTATTCAGAATCTCACTCTGTCGCCCAAGCTGGAGTGCAGTGGTGTGATCTCGGCTCACTGTAAGCTCCACCTCCCAGGTTCATACCATTCTCCTGCCTCAGCCTCCCAAGTAGCTGAGACTACAAGTGCCCACCACCACGCCTGGCTAATTTTCTGTATTTTTAGTAGAAATGGGGTTTCACGGTGTTACCCAGGATAGTCTCGATCTCCTGACCTCATGATCCACCCTCCTTGGCCTCCCAAAGTGCTGGGATTACAGGCGTGAGCCACCGTGCCCGGCCTCTCCTAAGGCAGTTCTAAATACCAAGCCCACAAACCAATTATCACCAGCAGTTTCAAGCTAAAAATGATTATTAATACAGAAGCATTTTACATCATTTTTGGTCTAATTATTATTCCCTAATGATTTAAGTGATAAATATAACAAGCCCGTTTTGACAGTTTATAAAATTAAGTTCCAGAGGAAAATCAACATAATTATCATCCAACAGCCACAGCAGGCATGTCACCTAAACACAGACCTCCAATTTCCAGATGTGTCTGTAATACAAAGGTGGCCACATGGAAGCCACAGAGATCAAGGCAGCACCTCAATAGCTGCAAGATCAGCTAATTTTAATTAAGTTCCATTGTTGCTACAAGCATGGTCACCCTCATGCCCAGATCAATCAACAGCTGTTAATTATCCCTTTACTTTGTTCTGAGACATTTCTACCAGCTGGTCAAGTGTTCTAAGAGGTGCGCCTGCTCCAGAGTGATGCTGGGGAGTCCGTGCAGTGGGAGAGGAGAAACAGGAACACAAAAGTTGGTCGGCAAAAGGCTTGGAGGTGGGACCATCCATCCAGTCCCCTCTACACACCTGGGAGAAGTTCTTGCATACACTCAGCAGGGTACAGCCTCATGACACCCAGAACACAGGCAGCTTCCCAACCTGCAGCCTCCAAGTCTGCTCACTGCCACAACCCTGGGTCAACTCTCTTTAAGTGCTGTCTACCCCTGCCCTGACCTCCACCAACCCGGGGAATTGCACCTGGGAATACCTGAGGGGCCCATCCTGGTGGAAATTCCACATTTGCAGCTCTAACCTCAATTGCTTCCCTTTCATTCTTTAATCACTTGCACTGCTATGTGCCAGACACAAAATGACAAAGATGAAAGACAAAGACCTTTGCATGGGCTCCTCAGGGAGCCCCCATTTAGTCACCCACAAATATAAAATGCCACCACAAAGCTCACATTCTCCTGGGGGCAGCAGACACTAAATAAATATACAAAGAGGAATAATGTCTTTGGCTGGCAGTAACAGGGATGAAGAGACACAACTCAGAGAGTGGGGATGAAGGGAGCCAGGGCTGGGTGGTGTCTCACGGAAAGTCCTCCTGAGGTGATGACTGCTCAGTGGAGCCTAGAATGAAGGGAGCTGGCAAATCCTATAGACACCTGGGAGAAAAGACTTTTGGGCTAACAATGGTAGGTCCAGAGGCCCTAAGGTGGGGATGCACTTGGCGTGTTTGGGGGGCAGCCTCAGGGCTGGTGTGACAATATATTTTCACCTCTTCCCTGGACCGCCAGAAGCAGGTCTTCCTGCCTCCATTCTGGCCTCCTCCAGTGGGTTCTAGAAGGTCCCTTTAAAAGTTAAATCTAGGTGCAAGGATGAGTAAATGGTGGCACATGATACAACAGAGTATCACTTAGCAATAAAAAAAGAACTGCTGATGGTGCAACC